GCATCGGGCATCAGGGGATGGATTCGTTACGGGTCCTTCACCAGTGCCTGCAATTGAGACTCATCATCTGGGAGCTCTGCCTTGATGCGTGCCGAAGCGGCCATGTTGCGTGTGCCCAACGCCAGGCTTTCGCCGGACCACGCGCGGCTCTGCAGAGTGCGTGCTGCCGGGGCCGTCGACATTGTTTCAGGTTTCAGCCCAAAGTGCTCTGGGGAAAGGCAGGATCATGCAGCCACTCAAACATAGGATTCGATCGAGAGTATAGCTCAGCCCTTCATGGCCAAAGGTTACACCCTGAAACAACTACTTCTGACACATGTTGTTATCTCTGCTGGCTCGCTTGTTTTTTGGAGGATGGGGAACGGGGTCAGCCTTTTTAGGGGTGGTAATGGGACAGAGGTTGGCTCATTTGCAAAAGTTGCAGAAGCATGATTTGTTGGCACCCTAACACTACTTTGGGAAACTGTGGCAATACACCTTTTAATGCCGCCCAAAGCCACAAGCCCCCTGACCTAGATTGCAGAAGCTGTGAAATGACATGTGAGCCACCCCAACAGTGGAAGGCCTAGCATTTACTTGCGTGGTCTATAGCTGAAACCCTAAATTTAGTTGATCCAAAGCCCAACCCGCACTGAGTTGGGACCCCCCAAAAAGAATAGGCCAAATCGTCAACTGGTCTGTTTGATGGGATTGCTTTTTTCGGGTTCTTGCCTCTCACAAACCTGCAAAAGGATCCTAAGGTCAAACCGCCAACAACAAATGGTAGCGGTTGACGGTCAGCTTGGTTACAACGACCGATCGTTGTAGCGTGAAGTTTGGTTGTCTTTCTTATAGGAATTCTCGTATAGTAGTCTTGTCTGTTGCAGCTGCTGCGGCCGTGATACAGCTGATGCACTGCGGCTGCGGACGCCGCCGGTTTCGCCTTGACGCTGCGCGCGGTTGGACCTACGCTCCAGCGACAAGACCTGGCCCGACTGCCTGTCACGGCCAATGTCACGCAGGCCGACCAGCAGAATATCAAGGCCTTCTGCTTGGGTTGCATCAACCCCTAACTTACGGAGCTGTGTCTCTGACGTGGCGCTGGCGAAGTTCCTCATGAGAAATGCTTTGCAGCTTATATATATATATATAGTTAGAGTTGACACAGACACAAAAAGGGTTCCCTTGTAGTTGCCCCTTTGCCCGAGGAATTGAAATGGATCATAAAGGTTGGGGGGGGGGACCTTGAGAGTCGGAAGAGTCCATACCAAATGGCGATCCCAAGTTTATTTCAACAAGGGGTAGGGGTCCTAAAAGGTTACCTGCGGGTGAAGGTTGCCCCTGGGAGGTAGCCAATGTGAGACCGCGAAGGATGGGGGAGAAATGTCGGCTCGGCAGTGTGGCGGCAGCCTTGCAATCTGCTTGTTTTGAATTAACCCAGACCCTTTGCCCGGCCAAAAAGAAAGCCACACCCTTTCCCATTGATTCAAAAAGCAACAGGGGTCAATGGTCCAACCAAGGTTTGCCCTCACAATGATGCTTGCAAGGAACCCCTCAACTAGATTTGTGCCATAATTGGTCATGAGCGGGCCCCAAAACCACGACACCACGACAAAAATAACGAAAGAGGTTCCGAAAGAGGAGCCATTGTGTTTATTGCTGAGTGCCCCGAAGCCCCAAAAGTGAACGGCGCTCTTTCGGCACTCCGGGCAGTATATGACAACCGTTATCTATCGGAATCCAAGAAATCCTGAAAACCCCCTTTTCGGGCCCCAGGAAATGTACGAAAATTATGGGTTTTCTATGGATTTGGTATGGGTTTGGTACGGTTTTTTATGGGTGTTTTTCCGATACACTAGAGTAGTCTTTCGGGAGACTCCCCCCCAAAAATACGGCCGAATTTGATGAAATTGCGGCCTTTTCCTGCTCAATTATGGCCGAATCCCCTAAAATTACTCAAGAAGTACGGCCGACCCAGCAAGAATTATGGCCGTTGCCCAAAATTACGGCCGTATCGATCATCAAACAGCCACGAACCCGTCAAAAACGGCATTGGAAGTGAGAAATGCGCACTGTAACCCCCTGAAAGACGTCTCAACTTCCCCAAAGACTGATGGAGACTTTTAAGAGCAACCTCCTAGCCCCAGCAAGGGTTGCACCAAGTAGCTGCAAAAGGGTTGAAGGGCTTGGGCACCTGGACCAGTCAAACGCTTTTACCCCCAAAACCCCAAAATCCGGGCTCTTTGGGATGGAGCAGGGAATCCCCAAGCTTTTGAAGACAAAAGGCTCAACTCTTGAAGGGCCCAACCTGGAGAAAAACCAAGCCCTATACCACCCATGCACGTTGTATGGGCAACGATTCTTTTGTTGGGGTGGACGCTCAGAGGGTTGCCTTTTGAAACTGGTGAATGATTGCTTTTTCGCAGCTCCGTCGAAAGGCGAAGCTTTTCCCACCCCTCGGAATCCCATGTGCTTCACAAGCGTTTTGGAAGAAGGGGCTTCCACTCTTCTGGCACTAGAAGCCCCGCACATCCTCGCAGATAGTGCACTACCTCAATTAGCATTGCATCCTCACAGCGGTCCTCGTAAGAACTCGCCTCAAACAACACAAGAGCCCGCTCACAAATTTCGGGTCCATCAGGGATAGGCTCTGGGTCACCCTTGCTCCTGGTCCACAGCTGGAAGACTTTTCTGGCAAAGCACCGGGTGTAGATCCTGAGTTTGGGCAAGCGCGGCTCAGGCCACACCGTGACCATGGACAACGACTTCAACAAGGACTCTGCAGGGCTACCCAAATATCGGCTCCCTTCAAAGCGAGTTTCAACTTTGCAGGAACCTCAAACTGCCCATGCGCTTCAGCAAATGTACTTACCCCTAAGCACCCTTAGGGGTAGATACAGTTGAGTCATACACTTGCAATGCTTCATCCCCCCGAACAGAAAGCATGAACAAGGGGCCAAAAAGAAAAAGGGGTCACACTTTGGGGAAATAGCTGGGAAGTTGTTGCAAGCTAGGGGGAGGTTGAAACTTGAGCCATGTTTTGATTGGAAACAGTCACTACTGAAGCGCGGAAGTTCCCCTACTCGTTGCGGCCAAAGAGATGAACCAGTCCAGGTGAATACCCCATGTTGCTCACATGACTAGCTGAGGCGCCCAGTGTCAGTTAGCTGTTTCGTTCCTGTCCACCTTCTCAGCCCAGCTTTGTCCACATAGCGCTTTGTAGGACGGAAGCCCTTCTGTTTGTGTTCGTCAAACTTCCGCATGTCAAGCTTGGCGCTGGTCCAGAACCCGGAAATCCAAGGTCGGTTGCACCAAAGAGTGCTGGCCTTTGGGCTTTTGCTGCCCCAACTCCCCATCCACAGATGCAATTTCCATACCTGGGCCATGCACCATGCGTGACGCTCAACGGGATTTAACTCAACCTTCATGCAGCAAAAGCTCTGGCACCCGTTCCAATAGCCATAAGAACCGGCTGTGACGCCACAATAGTGAGCTTCTCGGTTGTTCCACGGCAAAGCTATGGTTAAGCGCATGGGCTAAGAGGCATATGAAGGCCGACCTGCAATGGGAAAATATGATCCATGGAGCTTACACAAACCGGTTCCCTGACGCATGCCCGTGACCAAATTTCAAACTGGGGGCGCCTTGCAGCCATCCGGTTGCCATTCTCAACGCTGCAGTATGGAAGATACCCCTCTGCATTTGCAAAAGTACGGAAAGTACTGCCTCGACTTGCAGCGACCCAGGAGCTACAAAGAACTCCCAGCCAAATAAGTGAATTTGCCTTTGACCGCAAGACAGCGGCCAGAAAGCACCTGAGCAAGAGATCTACAGCAGCCAACATTTGGGGCTATATGGCATCATGATTGCGTGCGTTTAAGGCCTAGGCCCAAATCCACTACTGGTATTCACGTCCATGCCCCTCCCGTAGCGCTTGTCGAGCGAAGCAGAGTCACACCCTTCTGCAGCAAACTCTGAAGCCAGTGTAGCTGATCCACTGAAGAGCTCTGACATTTGAAACGCCTGAAAGGGACTGATTCCGCTGTTTGATTGGCAAAGCCAGCAATCAACATTAAAGCACTCCCGCGGCCTGGTCGAGCTGGACATCAGCGTTCCACATCAAAAGAAGCACACACAGGACAAACACCTAGGCTCGAGCATTTCAAAAAAAAGAAGTTCGATGGGGTATACCCTCAATGGAGCCCTTCTTGGGATGGAGGCTTGTTCTCCAATAGTTGATTGAACCTAGTTCCCATTATGCAAAACGGGCATGCCTGAAGCAGGCAAGCTATGGCGTGAAAGGTGACTGGTGGAATGAAATGGTTCCCCTGTACTGCACTTTCATTCGGGCCTAATGGTGTGCAAGGTGGCTGGTGGAATGACACGGTTCCCCTGTCCTGCAAATCAAAATGCAAGTAGAATGTTTGAAGTGGAATCCCAGCGCGAGTTCTGAGTTCTGATTGGCTGAAGCACCAACTTCTTGACACATGGTTGCAAGTGGAATTTAGCACTTGATGCGGCTTCCCGTCAAAGATTCGTCAACGAAGCCCCTAAGAAACTCTCTTCAGGAGCCTTTTGTCACACACACACATGCACAGACATAAGCCTTTCCAGGCCCATCATCTAACCCCCCCATGGAACTGTAGCTGAGCAACCTTGGGTGCACCATGGCTAAACAAGCTCACTGCCACAGATTCAGGGCTGAGCATTTCGCAAGCTAGCCTATCAAAGCCCTACCACCCAAGCCAAAATCCTGCAGTTGTGCAATGCCATGCACGCAGGACTGTTGCTCCACCTCAAGCTGCACAAGTTGTGGCAAGACCTGGCCTTCATCACCCCCAGAAGGCGCCACCAGGCCGGCCCGGGAGAGGCTCCGCTTTCCGCGCAGCAGAAGGGGCATGGGCCTGCCAGAGCGAAGCGTGTCATTGGTTTTAACGAAGCAGCCCACTTTTCAGGCATTGCACTGGTAGTGTTTGTGACGGTCCCAATGGAGATTGTGAGCTCGTGCAACTTTTAATGCACTCACATCGAAATGGCACTCTTTCAGCCATAAGGCCAGAAATCCATGATTTACACCACACACAAATGAGCTCATGTCAAGCTCCAACCCAGCATGCCACTCACAAATCCTTCATGGAGACCGCCGTGAGCCGCCAAAGCCTTTCAGGGACACGCAAAGTTTGCAACCCGTTGCTGTTTCAATCATCTCATGGAAATGCGTAGGCAGTTCCAGCTCCTTACTTCCAATTTGGTCAGCCCAAGGTTAAGTGACAATCCCCTGATCCAGCATATGTTATGGATGGAGTGCCGAAAGGACCAAGAAGCAAACAATTTAGCGTTGCACAGCAACATTCGTAACATAACATGTGTGTTTACACAAGTTGTAGGCTGGTTTGGTGATCGAAACAGACTACGGGTCCGAAAGGGCAAAACTACAATTTTGCCAGACCAGAGCGGGGTCAAAACATCATCCTGTCATCTTTTGCATTTGCAGGGAAAGCCCGACAAAGCCACGTGTTTTTCACACCCATCCCACCTCAGTCCACATCCGGCACAGTCAGACTCTGCCAGAACTCCCCAGCTGCCTGGGTGCAAAGACCGTTGCAGTCCGAGCCATCAGCGTATGTGCTGTGCCCAGAGCAGAACTCCTTGGCAAACTTCCAGAACTGCGTCTGCAAGGGGTTGCGCGTTGTTGCACTATACCCATGTTCCACACCTCTTTTTCTTTTTGAAGTTCACCCAGCATTCTAGATCACAAGGCCTTAGTTTCTTGCTGCCAGTTTGTTTTCTGTTCAGAAGGGTTCTGAGCTGCAAACGTTACATATGTCAACATGCACTGCTTTGCCCTTGCCGGCCTCCAAGCGAGTCTGGCTGCCTGACTCCATGCGTGGCTTGATGATGCTGCCAAACGAGGAGACAGCGGCTTCCCAGAAGTTGCCCATCCAAGTTGTGGTGGGCTTGTACCGGCCAGCAAAGGTTTTGGAGCGCACACCCCCCTTCCCAGAGGAACTGCTGCGCTCCCCCTTGTTCTTGTTTGCCACCTTGTCGGGCGTCTCCTTTTTCTCCAAGGCCTGTTTGGCCGGAGGTGTGTCAGTTTTGTTCTTGCTGGTCTTCTTTTTGCTGGTTTTGACATCCTCTGTTTTGTCTGCCGCCTTGCCCTTGCTTGTCTTCTTCTTCAGGTTGGCCTGCTTGTTTGCCAGCCGCCCCGCTTTCTTTGTTTTTTTCTTCTCACATGATTCTTCTTCGTCTTCGGATTTGCGCTTGCGCGCCGCTTTGGCAGCAAGCTGATCTTCTCGCGTGACCACCTGTGGGCAACTTGAAACGATCCCCGTCAGGTTGCCCATGAATCCGCAAGAGGGTTTGCAATGAAAAACAAGGCCGGGAATCCATGCCTACACGCAGGGCAACAATGGGAAAGTTCAAAGGGGAAGCAGGGCAAAGCCATGAACAGTGCAGCCTGGTTACTCGCTTCAACGGAGAAACTTGCTCTGACACCATCGGCACTTCGACAAGGGGCTTGTCAAGAGCCTTCACGTTCTGTGCATTCTTCGCTTGCAAGGCCAGCGGAAACTTCCCGGACGGGCTCTCCAGGCCGGGGCCATCGTGCATGACATCCATGATGGCCTGGGTGTCGGGGATGTACAGCTGGGTCTCTTCCTCATAGTTCTTCAAATTTTGATGGGATATGGGTTCAGTCTCCGCGCCGTCCAGCAAGTCAATCACCAGACTTTTTCCTTTGCGTCAGGCAACCCTTGACAGCTTTGGGAGACCCCCCAGGTTTGGCCTGCGTTGCATGAAGGAGCTCCCTTTATAGCCCAAAGTGGCAACTGAAAACACGCAATGGTTTGATCTTCAACGGTCCCAAACTTCGACTGAAAACGCTCATGGCTATCAAAAAGTCCATTGACGGAACTTCGGCGATCAAGTATCCCTCAAAAGGGTTTACCACCCCTAAAAAGGGCAATAACAGGCTACCCCCCAAAGGTACTGTGAAAGGGCACTTCAAACCACGTATGGAACTTATTGATGCATCAACAATAATGGCTCCAATGGGCCAGGGTTGCAGTTGCATGAACATAATTTCGACAGGCCACAGTGGCCAAGGTAAAAAAAGACTTCAAAATTTTGGGGCCTCCCTCCATGAGAATGGGAGGGTTGCAAATTGGAATCACATCGGTTAGGGTCTTTGCCAACCCATTCTTTTAAGGGATTACCGTGAACAACGGATTTCTGCGTAGCCTTTGCGCAAGCTCCGAAGGCTGTGCACAAGTCTAACACTGCCAAGTCTCTAGTGGACAGCGACGCCTGATGACGCTTCAGCTGCCTCATGCGCTCCTTCTCCACTGCCATCCTGACACTCAAACGTCGCAAGCTGTGTCATCAAACCCTCTACGAGCCACACGTCTAAATGAAAACTGTTAAATCCGACCATGGCACAGCCGCTTTGCCTCCAGCTTGAGCTCTGCCAGCCGAAGCTTTTGCTGCAGCTCCTCCATCTCCCCCTCCCCGACCATGTGGGAGGTCTGCAGATCCTCCATGCCTCCAGCAGCCTGACACAAATATGAATATATGAGTTTTTTGTTTTGCGCAGGTGACGCAATGAATAGATGCACATGGGAAAAATGGTAAACAAAAAACATCACAGCTGACATAAACGTACAGTGCTTGCTGCAAGCAAGCAAGCAGCTGGATGCCCTTCATGTTCTTGCCCATTGCCCTCAACAGCCACCGGAGACCCTGCGTCCAAACCCAAAGTAGCACGCCCTGATGGGGGAGGCAGAGGCCTTCGTGCGTTCTCCACACGAGCCTCCTCCATCTGCTCTGCATCGAAGGGTGCCAGGGTTGACTCATACGATGTGACCGTGAGGATCTCGTCCTGCTCGTTCTCCGCGTTTTCTTCATCTTCAACAGCAGCTTGGCGGCAGTCCTCGAAAAGGGCCCCACCGATGTCCTCGCATGAAACAAGTTAGCAAATTATGTTACCGTCCAGAAACCAGTGTAACACAGGTCTGCCCAAGAGCTAAACGCAAGATTGCTGAAAACATAGACGAAGTGTCCGCGTGAAGCTGGTTGAACGCTTGCTGGTAGTCCTGAACCAGGTCCCTCACCATGGCATCCTGAGCAAGACTGAGTTGCGCGTAGCATGTGTTGGGACTTCATGGATGAAGTGATGAAGCCATTCAGCCCCTCAATTTGAGCACGCACTAAATCAAGATTCCAAAAAAGCCAGGCCAGAACAGTTTGAGCTGAGACTTTAAATGGCCCGATTGATTGCTTCTCCCAAGTTGGTGAATCCAGGAGTCTAGCTCGCACGAGTTAAAGATGTTCAAAGAGCTACGTGCAGGCCCACACCATACAAGTGACTTTTTCTGTTGACAAGGGGCAAAAGAGATCCTTCAACATCAAAGGGAGGGAGCCGGTGTGAACGAAGTGGCAATTCAATTGCATTGCTGCGTGGATATGGGATGAAGCAATGAAATTCTTAAGACGCGGATTCCCACAAAGGGCTTGGTCGGTCTGCTTTACCGGGCTGTCAAAATGCCACTGGGGCACTCTGGGTGTCTCCTCCTTGTACCACTTCCTCCGCAGGAAGTTCAGCATGCGCTTCAGGCCCCAGGCATCCGCGTGGGCCACTGCGGCCATCTGCTTCTCGTCCGGATACCCAGCCGACACGTGAAATGCAAGCACCTCATGGAAAAGGAGCTCCAACCCCGGAGTCTGCAAGCATGCTGACTCAGCCATAGCCGAAGTTATCGGCTTCAAGACCTCGTGGTTGAGCTTCACGCATGCCATGGACCCAACGCACACCTCTACCCCATGTCTCCGGCTCATGATGCCAGTGACCAAGGGTTTGCCACTGATGCTCCGCTGCCTAAGTGCCCTTTGGCTTTCCCACAAAGCGGGCAACGAGGGAAGCCACGTCATGTCCCAGGGCGGCCTGTCCCCCTTCTCCTGCACGGTCACCTTGTTTTCAGCACCAGCCATGAAGGGTGACCAAAAAAGGGACCTAAAAACTCGGGCCAAATGCCTACGAGGGTGCAAGTTTAGTTGCTGGACAATGCTGCGCCCAACATGCCAACCACATACCAAGCCATCAAATGTCCCATCATGAATTGCGACCACTCAGCTTGCCCAGCCTCCGAGGCCGAAATCGCACCGGCAAGTGAGTGGAAAAGAGATGCACTGAATGAGCTGAGTGAGTTGAGTGAGCTGAGTGGGCTGGACCATGGCTGATATTCCAATTCGTGTTGCCAAAAATGCTTGAAGCTCCCCGCTTCAACGCTTAAAACCGGCGAAGCGCGGGCAATGTAGGATGATGCAGGCATGGCAATGCGAAGAAAGAGCGCTTGGAGTTCTGAAACATGGCATGCAACCATGACACCCTTGGCTGTGTCCAGAATTTTGGCCGTTTCCAGAATTACGGCCGAACTGAAAAAAACCAGGTTTTTTTGAAACACCCAAAAAAAAGGCAGCTGTTTGGGGTACCAGGTATATATATGAGCTGTTTTTTTTTTTTTTTTTTTTTTTTTTTTAATTTAATTCGGTGCTTCGATCGAACTCTGTGGGCATCGTTTGTGCCACATTCCGGTTGTCGACACTGGCTCACAGATATCTGCACACTTCAAGTTGCACACTTTACGAACCTTGGGGAGCCAGTTCGCTAGGCGTAGCTTCCATTTCCATTCTTTCCATCCGAATCTTTCCAAAAGACCACCCAAGATCCTGGTTGGACACGGCGGTCGGTTTTTGGGTTTTTGAAAAGAACGATGGTTGAAAAGAATGGCTGGAATCAACCCCTAGAAGTTCCTTTGCTAACGCGATCAGCGAGTGAAAACACGCGAAAACACCTCTCCGAGGCAGGCAGGGCATCCATCGCCTTTGCCAGCGGCCCGTGAGAAGCTGTGTGTGAGAAAGTGTTTAGTCCCACAGACTCACGGCAAGGAGTATCTTCACCGGTTTCCATCAGAAGTTCAAATCCTAGCTCCGAACAGGCAATGAGACTTGGGTTCAAGAAACCTTCCACTGGATGAGTCCGTTTTTTGTATGCTTGTGATATTGCCAGCATGCCTGGAGCACGTCTTCGATGTGGTTGCTACGCCATCACAAATCTTTTCTTTCCCTTGACATTGTGAAGGGCATCGTCTTTCTGGGCTAGGGCTTTGCGCTCGTCAAGTCCGACAAAGTCGATATGGTGCTTCTCCGGCTCGGTGCGCCCGAGTGAGACATGTGCTCCACGCAAGCACGTGGGGTTTTTGGTTTGGTTTTCATGCAACTGGGGAGATCCTGGCATCATTTGGGGGAGTTTTGTCGCGAAGGTTTCCGAAATCAGGGGTGAAGTGGCCGATAGTGGCACAAGTACCACTTGGCTCAGCGGTTGAAATTCACGGCATTGTGCCTCGCGGGCGAAATATCGGAAGGTCAATGATGCATGCTCATCTCTTTATACACATATATATAGGGTACCCCTTTTGGGTTGGTTGTACGGGAAACCACGAAACAAACCAATCGTTTTGAAGGTAGGACAGCATTTCCGGCCGAAGAGACTGATCGCAGAAGGAAGCGTTTGCCCATGACAATAGTTTCATGTTGCACTGGCCATCAGCCGCCAATCAGGCTGGTCTGTTTGCTTTTGTGAGAAAATTACAAAAAAGAATCCTTCACTGCGAGGGGGTCGATCAATCTTCCACAAAAGGGTGGCAAAACGACCCGGCCGCCAATCATCAACATGAGAATTGGAGAGCTTCCAGCCAAGAAGATGAAGCGCCCTGCTAATCATACTGTGGATGGTTGCGAAATCCATTTTGCACCACGAAACCATGGTGGAATTCCACCATAACGTTTTCTTGGTATTTGTGGGGGGGTCATCATTCCAGGGCAAGACTGCAAGTGTTTTTGGAGAACGGGACTGGCAACCATTGCCCAAACTGGCGAGGCTGCAGACATCTTGGGACCCACCAGGAAACAATCACGGCAGGTTCTGTGTTGGGCTGAGACTTTTTGCGTTGTGTCACTCACAAATCCAACCAAATCCAACCGAGTCCAAGCCCTCAAGACCCTTACAAATTACATCAAACCATTCATTCTAAGAACATTCGGGAACGGACCACCCCTGGTGGTTTCCTCTCGGTTTCCCTTAAGTAGCTATGTGGGGATTCGGCTGACCTGCTGAGATGCGGAGGATAAGCCAACCAAGAAACGCTGACGCTATCCAACAGAGACCCTGAAACTATGGCTGTCCTTTCGGTTTCCACTGAAACTGCAGTTGCTTTCCAGTCGCAACACACATCCAGATCCAGAACTCAACTCTTCGGGCACTCCGAAAGCCTCTCTGCGCAAAACGAAATGATGCGGCGACTTCAACGCGTCGGGTATTTGTTTGTCGAGGTTGCCTTTGTCGGTTTGAAAGCAAATACCTTTTGACGCTTCACTTGGGATCCGCAGGCCGCAAGCCCCCGGGTTCCCATGGGAACCGGCAAAAACACAAGGCCTTAGGATCATTCCGACAACAACTCTTTAAAGCTCCAAAAAAACCTCCAAAATACAAAGACTTGTTTGGCATCCCTCCAAAACTCAGGGGCGCCAACTCCAAAAAACAGAGGCGAACCCATTTGGAGACACGCGGCCGATGCAGCATGGCCATAGATCTCCCGACCTCGCAGAGCAGCCTTCCCCGTGGGTTTTCTTCCGGATACGTCCGGAGAACATGTGGCAAATACATCCGGTGAAATCGATTCCCCGTTAAACAAAAAACATATTTTTCAAAAAAATATATTCATTTGCAGCAAATGGAAGTTTGGGTGGTTCACATCACCCTGGATAATTTGAACTTGGTCTTTCCTGGTGATGGGTGGTTAACATCACCAACTCGAGGACAAAAAAAAAAGAACCAACAAAAAAACTATATTATTCTCTCTTGGTGATGTTCCTGTTGAATCCAGCCAAATCCCACTGGAGTTCATTGGAAACCAACCTCCCTCCGGCCCTAAGCCCTGCGAGAAACATGCCAACTGAGGGGAGATGATTGTGTTGTGCTTGGGGATAAGGTTGTTTTCCGTAGTATGTGAGACTTCTGGCAAGGAGAAAACTTCATAAAGCCCGAAGTTGCTGAATTGCAACATCCGTTCAAGTTGGATATAATCCGACCTTCAGAGATATCCCGCCATCTGAAACTGCCTAGTTGCCATAGGATTTGGCTTTGGGTGGAGAAGAGGAGTAGCTCTCGGACACAACAGCGGGTTCCAGTACCATCCACAAGGATTAATGCCTGATAAAAAAAAAAGGCGACCTGTTTGTGTTTGCGGCTGTCCACTAAGACCATGGCTTGGCTCAAAGCCCGAAAATCTCACTTGCCCAAAAGACCTGGAAATAAAAGGTTCACCTTTTGGAACCTGTACTAAAGAAGGACCAACATGGGAAAGCCAAAAGGTCAGTTCAGGTCGGTTTTGGGCTCAGGTGAGAAATTTGGTGACCCGTCTCGCATGCACGCTGACACACTGAGGCCGCAGACTCCAACCTGTGTCGAGTCGGGCTTCCAACCGCCTTCTCGAAGAACTGAGCACACGCAACGCATCCGCAACTCTCGGTTCGTGGCATCACTGGCTCTCTTGGTGGCTGTTGTTCCCTCTGGGCTTTCCTTTGAAACCCAAAAAAGGGTACCCCCAAAAAAACGGCGCTTGTCTCAGTTGCCCAAAGGACCGGGGACTCAAAGGTGATCACCTCTTGGGTTGCCATGACTACATATGGACAATGGGAAAATCAAAAGGTCAAAAGGTCGGCTTTGCATTGAACAACTGAGCTTGGGTATGGTTCAAAAACCCAGTACCAAAATGGGTTGCCCTGGTAAGTAGAAACATGGACCAAAACCTGCGGGGGTTTGCCCCAGCTCTTTAATTTTGAGCCACTGCCACTTAGGGGGCAGGGGGAGTGGGGGTGTTGTCACCGCTTCCCCCAATTCAATTTGGCGGGGTGGGGTTTGTTGTAGGGAAGCCGACGACAACTATAAAGTATCCTTCCTGCTGGTGCAGCTCAGCAAATCAGCCAAGCAGCCTCCTCGTTTCGCCTTTCGCAGTCCTCGGATGCGAGGTCACAGCAAACCTCCCAAACCTGGCGATTTTTCAACATCTCCCCCGCACGCCGAATAGCACCGATAACACTAACACTAGCAGAAACAGCCGCAGGCAAACAGCTAGCAGTTGCAACTGCCAACGGCCACCACGACCGCCACCACAACAACATCAACAACGAGAACGATGCCGACGACGGCGACGACGACGACGGCGATGGCAGCGGAGCAACACAGCGACGGCGATGGCTGCGACAGCTGTGCTTGTGAACCCGCAGCCGCCTGACGCATATTTTGGATGTTTGATGAACCCCCCCCGCCGAACCATTGGTCATTGTTGCTGCGTTGTCGTTGCAGTTGTTACTCTGGCTGTTGTTTCGTTTGCTCTTGCCCCTGTTCTTGTATTGTTGTTGTTTTTCCTATCGTTCTCGTTGCGTTCTTGTTCTTGCAAAATTATTCTTGCTGCTGCTGCTGCTGCCGCTGCTGGCGCTGCTGTAGCTGCTGCTGCTGGTGTCGTTGTTGATGTTGTTGATGGTTGTGGTTGTTGGTTGCGGTTGTGGTGGTCGTGGTCGTGGTTGCTGCGGTGGCTGTTGCTGTTGCTGTTGCTGTTGCTGTTGCTGTTGCTGTTGCTGTTGCTGCTGCTGCTGCTGCTGCTGTTGCTGCTGCTGCTGCTGCTGCCGCCGCGGCTGATGCTGCTGCTGCTGCTGCTGCTGCTGCTGCTGCTGCTGCTGCTGCTGCTGTTGTTGTTGTTGTTGTTGTTGTTGTTGTTGTTGTTGTTGTTGTTGTTGTTGTTGTTGTTGTTGTTGTTGTTGTTGTTGTTCGCGGTGTTGTTGTTCTTGGTGTTGCTGCGGTAGTTGGCGGTGGTGGTGGTGTTTTTGTTGTTCTTGGTGGTGGTGGTGCTGCTGCTGTTGCTGTTGCCGTTGCCGCTGCTGCTGTTGTCGTGGCTGTTGTTGTTGTTGTTGTTGTTG